ACCCGTATGTGTATTATGAATTATGATTAATTAATTTTATTAAAATGAGTAAGTATATATGTTTGAAAAATAAAATAAATTATTATATGAACACATAAGGAATTAAATTGCATTAATACATGAACACACAATATTCAATTCTTAAAAATACTATAATACCCTCGCTCATAAAAGAGAGAAACAATACAACAAATCCAAGCCAACTGTTGAGAAACTAATAAAGAATATAGAAGAAGAAGACAACAAAATAGAGAGAATATGTAATGTGTTATTTCATCTCCTCAAGTGTACAAACACATTACATGGTGCTCTATATATAGCACTAGAAAAGACCTCTCAAAGGTCATGAGTTAGAAGACCATAATAGGATCATCAATAGGTATTATGGTGTGATAATGGGGGGAGTGATGGGGATTGATGATGGTGAGTAATGGTGGTCATCCACTCCTTTAAAGAATTTATAACACTCCGCATTGGATGTCCACCATATATGGAGTATGCCTCGTTAAAACCTTGTTAGGAAAACCCGATGGGACAAAACCTAAACGAAGGAAAAAGAGTACATATCCATCTGAAGCTTGTGAGCGTGACACTACCTCGTTAAAACCTTGCCAAGAAAAATCCAATGGGACAAAAACTTGAACGAAGAAAAAAGATTACAGTGTTGGAAATATTGATAACGTTCCCCCTGATTTCGACATGAGACATTAGAGTCTCCACAAGATTTAAGTCACCTCAAATGATAATAGTGATAAATTTACTTGATTATTCCTTTTGTAAACAAGGTATTCACTAATGTGACAATACCATATTCTTGAAAATGGATCATTATTCGTAGAGTCTAACTCATGAGACATCTTATTATATGCTTCAAGCATTTTTAATTCTTTATTGATTTATGATTCATATAGATATGTGGTAATTGTAATAGCATCCATATGATGCATGTCAAGTATTTTGAATACCATCATAAAGTGATTGCATCATAAAAATATATTTTCAAAAGGCATTCAAATTTACCGCAATTATTTTACCCACTTTTGTACTAAAGGCTCCACAACTTATGTGTGTTGACTTCAAGTCAATGTACAATTCATTTCATCAATAATTCAAATAATCACGGTCAATTGCATTTGTGAATGCAGATACTAATGACCAATTAGATGTCGACATCTACTAAAATGTATGAGCTTCAAGCTCTTCACATTAAAAAAAATGTACATACAGTTATTCGATAACATCTTAAGTAATCCCCATATTTCTTTATAATCAATCAAGAGCTCACTATTTCACTTTCCGGTACCGGATATTCATATAAATGGGGATTGTAGCCTTTGTGGGTACGATCTCTTGTAGAGATCCATATCTTTTCATGTACCATGTATTTTTCTCTTATAGAGAATTTTCTATATTGCATCAATAAAGTTTTTCATAATACTTTATGTGCGTGAGCTCATTATTTATTTCAATAAAAATGTCCTACATAGACAAAATGCGCGCTTTTGAGTTTCACAATGTGAATGGGGTATTGAGGACTACTTGTCCACTTTATTTTCAAACTCAATATTAACATTCAATTCGGTACATGAATATTCGTTCGAAAAGAATTTTCAACTCTTTAAGATATTATATCGGTACAACAACAAAATTGAGAACTAATAGTCTCAAATGCCTCTCTATTCACTTAGAGAACAAGCTAACCATGATTTATTTGTCAATCAACTCTTTATTGGCACATAATTGTTCGATTTAAAATGATCTCGGTAGCTACCATGTAATCATCAATGATTTTCTCATCCAAATATGTATTTCATTTATGCCACCATAAGTCGTAAGTATTCTCATATCATAGTAATGGATATTGGTGTTGAGGCGTCCCCCAACATCGTCTTTAAGACGAATCCTTTCATGAATGAGATAATTAATAGGATGAGAGTGTGATGCTACTAGCGCTAGTAGACTTTAGTGACACGATATTCACCCACTTCTTTGGGTGTTAATCATTCGAACCAACATATATATCTCCCCCTCTTATATGTATAAATTTTAATTGGTTAGTTGTGTACCACAATCATTTTTCACCAATATAGGGATTCACGATGCAATCACAATGTGAAATTTGTCATTTGAGGACATTCGTTTATAAGCCTTTCATGGCAACATCTAATGTGCAATGTGTCCTTCTTTGGACATTTTCTCTTGCACTCATTTGCAACATATGTAATACTTTCAAGTTGTCATTTTGTCGATAAATGCATCTAGCATTTTACACATTAAAATTGTTGCAAATGAATTCCTTTTTCTTTTGTGCTTAAATATTTCCATGCACAAGTTTAGATGAGACAAAGATCATTTTGTATAAGTCACGCCGCCATTATACAAGAACCGGCTTCTTATCTCCCCCTTAACGGCGGGAAAATTGTCTCATTAAAATGGCAACTGACAATGTAAGCCATAGAAATATCTCCCATCAGGGGTGAAAAATATTGCATAGTATAAATAATAAATAAACCATGTGATATAGTTGTTATCTAGATGAGAGTAACTACGTTTGAGAATCTAACAGGTTCTGTACACAGATGACCAAATTTCAAAATTTTGGAAATTCAGGGACCAAACTGTAAATTTTGAAAACTTCAGGGACAAGACTGCAATTTTTAAAATTTGGTGAAAACTGAAAATGCTGAAATATATTCATAATTTCAGATGATGAGAGGAACGAGCTGCATATTCTAAAAAAAATATTTGGACTGAATCGTAAAATATTTTAAAATCTGGTGGACTAAAATGATTTTTTTGAAAATTTTGAAGGAGTAAACTGTAAATTTTTCAAAATCAGAATATGCAGATCCCTTTTTTTTCGTTTGGTTTGAAATTTCATCTCATCTAGACCAATTATAAAAGAAAATCATGTACATACCTCCATAGATATGGATTTAGAGTGACACTTGCAACTTTAATTGAATTGGTCAATCTCGTTACTCCAAAATCAACGCAATTTCTTTTGCTTCTGTGTTGGTGCTTGATAAAGCTTATCCACATGTTTTATCGTGAAATGGATATATGACCAATTATTTTTTATTTTTCTCATCTCTCTTCCACTTGTAAGGATGAGATAAAATTTATAGTAAATAAGCTTTAGCACCATGATAGCTTTTCATGTCAATATATCTATTCGAATTTTTGAATATTGTTGTTTTCACTTTCAAAGAATAACAACAATTGAACGAGTTTTGTATTAGCTCACAACTCGTATTATAGTACGATGTGCTATTAAAAATCTTTATTTTGCTATTACGAGTGCAACTTGAGTTTTTATGTTGTCACTTCATGATCATAATATAGATCCATAAATTAGAGAATATTTTCTCTTACAATTCTTCATCATATGTATCTTCAAGACACATATATTGAAATATTTTACTTGTTGTTTTCAAAACAACAAAGTCAAGATTTAAAGAGAGCAAATTATAGAGAGGATAAAATATCTATCTCTCTTTTTTTTCATAAGTAACTAGATGTAATATTACTTTTACTTATGTGTTCAAGACACATACCCCAAATTAAGTACCCGTTTCTTGAAAAATGACACAATAATATTTTGCTCGGTGTCTTATAGACACATTTTCATTATGAAATATTTGGCTTGTGTCCTCAAGGCACATAGCAATAACACAAATATTTTGTGATATATCATGAGAGATAAATAGATCTTTAACTTCAATGATCCAAATTTTATAGTTATGTTCATTCTTGAACTATCAAGGATAATTTTAAACTTCATGATATTTTGATATCATTGTATCACAAATGAATACTCATTTTGAGTACATATACACCATTCAAATCTCAAGGATTGAGTTTTATACCTTAAATTTATGTACTTGATTTGGGATCTTAAGCCCTATAATTGGTACTTAATCATAAAATAATAGTACCTTGAGTAGGAAATATCCATTAACTCAAATATCAAATTTTGAGTATCATCACCTAGACCTTGAGTCTAATATATTCAATCGAGAATTCTAGTCTTCAAATTTAATCTAGGCCTCAAGCCTTTATATTTGATATGCCTCCACATAAGCTTTCAAGCCTTCATATTTAAATTAGGTTTTAATTTGAGCCTAAAATTTATGAATTTCGAGTTCTTTTTTCGATTGATAGAGCTTTTCAAGTTGCATAAACTAGAGAGCAAGTGGTTTGTTTTTTTTTTGTTCTTAATATACCACTCAAATCTTCGAGCCACTTGATTGTACGTGCTCGATTTGGGCTTCAAGCATCAATATGTAATAAAAATCGTAATAGTACTTTGATCATGAAAGAATAGTACTATAAATGGGGAATACCCTCTAACTCAATTGTTCAAGAGTCTTATCATTAGACTTAAAGTCAAATATACTCGATCGAGAATTTTAATCTCGTATGTAATATAGGCTATAGGCCTATAATCGTCCCTTTTATTTTTAGAACATCATGTTCAAAATTCGCACAAGGGACAGCTCTGGCAGAGCTGAGTATTTTAATCATATCTCCCTCGATTGAGATCCGATTTTGATGATCCAAAATGTTCCGAAAAGCCAACAGAAAATGCTACAAGTTTCGTATTTTTTATCAATTCAAAACAAGAATAAAATATTTAAAATAAACTCCCTTTCATCTTCTATGGCTAAGGAGTCATCTTCCTTGGATCATCTTTACTCGAAAATTTAAGTAGAACGATCGTGCTGATAACGTGTTGAGAAACTAATAAAGAGTATAGAAGAAGAAGACAAAATAGAGAGAATATGTAATGTGTTATTTCATCTCTTCAAGTGTACAAACACATTACATGCTGCTCTATATATAGCACTAGAAAAGACCTCTCAAAGGTCATGAGTTACAAGACCATAATAGGATCATCAATAGGCATTATGGGGTAATTATAAGGGTAGATTAGTAAATTACTATAGATTGGTCGTGCATAAAACATATATGGGCCTGTAAATAGCCGGGCCCTAAATTTAATGGCAGAGGCAAAAACTTCAGTCACTGATATAAACGTATCTTTCAAATCGTCGGAAGTAACGGAAAAATCGCATCCTTCCTCCATACGTCTACACCAAGTCCATCTTCAGTCCGCACAAACTACAGTGTTTAGAGAGAGAGAGGAGAGAGAGAGAGAGAGAGAACTGACAGCAATGGCGGAAGAAACACTGGCTTCTCTAAGGTCTCTAATGGCGTCTCACTGCCCTCCACTGGACGCTTTGGTCGTTCCTTCCGAAGATTATCACCAGGTTTTGTGTTCTTCTCTCTCTCTACATCGTTACGCGTTTACGCCTGTGGATTTTCGATTTGCTGATTGTGCATCTATGTTTCCGATGTGCAATTGAATCGTTGGTAATCGGAAATCTTAATTTCCGATGATCGGAATTATTTATTTCTATTTTGGTTTTAATTTGACTTTTGGTTGTTGGTTGGATTGGCTGGATCATCGGTGTGCCAGAGCGAGTACGTATCCGCGAGGGACAAGCGTCGCGAATTCGTATCTGGCTTTAATGGAAGCGCTGGTTTGTTTCTTCTTATCGATTTACACATTTTTGTTTTTCCTTTTAATTTGCGAACTTTTTTACTGATGCAATTGAAAAATATGTTTTTTGTATCAATTTTAAGAGTGAATTTTGAAGTCTCTGCATTTTGAGGTCTAAAAGCTCTTTATTTGATATCGATTACTCTCGAGATTTTCGGAGAAATTAGCCCTAGAGTGTTTTTAATCCATACAAGTTAAGTAGTTAAGTAACTCTGTAATGAGTGTTTGAAGCTAACAGCTTTTATATGAATCGGATCGATTCGCTTCATGGTTAATTGCTTTTTATCCTACTGAAACAGGAACTTGTCTTGCTGTACATTTAACAATTCGGAATTAACGAATACCTTTGTAGGCATAATTACTGTGTTATCCCTAATTTTTTTATTTTTGTAGGTTTGGCACTTATAACAGCAAATGAGGCACTGCTTTGGACAGATGGACGGTATTTTTTGCAGGCAGAAAAACAGCTTAGCAACGAATGGAAGCTCATGCGTGTAGGAGAAGACCCTACAGTTGATATCTGGATGGCTGATGTGAGATTTCTCTGAGTTTACATATCGGTTTCCTGTTAAATTAGAGATTTATATATGCATGATTTTTGAATTGTTACTCTTATGTTCGGATGATAATTTTTGTTTTCCCTATAAATTCACCATTTTTCTGGATACTCTGTGATATCTTGAGTTGTTTGCTGTTTGCTCATTGGTCACTCTAACTGAATCTTGTTATTATGTACTAGAATCTAGCAAGTAATGCAGCAATTGGTGTTGATCCTTGGTGCATATCAGTTGATACTGCACAGAAATGGGAGCGTGCTTTTGCTAAGAAACAGCAAAAGTTGATTCAAACTGCGACTAACCTGGTAGATGAAGTTTGGACAAGTAGACCACCACCTGAAACAAATCCTGTTGTTGTGCAACCACTGGAATTTGCTGGTCGTTCTGTTGAAGATAAACTAAAGGATTTGAGGGAAGAACTTATGCAGGAAAAAGCCCGTGCTATTGTGCTTACTGCATTAGATGAGGCAAGCCGTATTGACTTTCAAATTTATAGTTTTTTAATGGTAACTTTGTGTGTTTTTAGTCCTTCTGTAATTTAGATGATTATGATTTCAGGTCGCATGGCTGTATAATGTCCGTGGCTCTGATGTTGACTACAGCCCCGTTGTACATGCATATGCTATAGTAACGTCGGCTGCAGCTTTCTTTTATGTCGACAAGAGAAAGGTGTCTTCTGAGGTTAGTCTACTTTAATATTCTTTTTTTTTTCTTTCTTTTTTGTGATGATACCGTGGTCTCAAGTTTATACAATCTGCAGGTAAGCTCTTACATGGAGAAAAATGGTATTGAAGTGCGGGATTATGGTGAAGTTAGCTCAGATGCAGCTTTACTTGCATCCAACAAGCTTTCTTATTCCAATGCCGCCAAAGAAAATGCACATGATATTTCGCAAAACCCGAACGATCTCATATGGGTTGATCCTGGTTCATGCTTTGCTTTGTATTCAAAACTGAATCTTGATAAAGTTTTCCTGCATTCATCACCTTTGGCCCTTGCCAAAGCCCTAAAGGTATGTTCCTCTCTCTGAAAAGCACCGAGATGTTTTTTGCCTTTCATTTTGTGATTTTTCTGGCCAGAACCATAACCTAAGTAAGATGCTTGTGGGTCCTTACATGTTTTTTCATATTTTCCTATTTACCTTTTCAAATTACCGAGTACTTCAATTAACAAAAAGTACGGACACCAATATCACTATGCAATGCTACAATACTGAACACTAGCTTCTATGATAGTTCTATCGATCATTCTTGCAATCCATGTTGGCAGTGTCTTTATAATTAGGCCTCAAACTGTATTTTGGTGAATGATGCTTATTTTTGTGCTTTTAAGTAGGGCGTACAGTATGCAATGCAATGCCTCAAATCTAGAACTTGAGAAATCATGTTATATCTTAAATTTCATGTTCCTAAGTATGATGGCAATCATGTTATATCTTAAATTTAGAACATTCTTGTTCAATTATGGAAAATACAAGAAGATCAACTAAAACATGTATAGCAAGTACAGATAGGAAAATATAAGTGTGTTTGAATAACATTGGAATCAGATGTATTATGAGTTTAAACTATCTGCAGTCATTTTTACCAATATCTGTCTTTCTGTTTACTGTATGTTTGACCATACTTTCAGAATCCTGTTGAGATTGAAGGACTGAAGAATGCACACATTCGAGATGGGGCAGCTGTTGTGCAGTATCTTGTTTGGCTGGACAAACAGGTAAAGGAATAACTACTGGAATAGTGCATGTTTGATTTGATTAATGAAGATTGGTGTTCCATTTTCGATTTATGTTACATCTTTCGTCCATTGCAGATATGCCCTATATTTCACTCACTCAATATCCTTAGTTAATGATTATTGCAATCTCTAACTAGTAATTACACATTCTTTCTGATACACTTTGTTAAAAGAGGATTTATGAACTGTTATTGATTCATCTTTTTGGTTGCCCTCAGATGCAGGAAATCTATGGGGCTTCTGGTTACTTTGTTGACAGTGAGGTCAACAAGAATGACAAATTGTAAGTTTGTTGTACCAATGTTTATTTGCCTAATGAATGGGGAATATCGTTTTTGGTCACTTGTAATTAAATTTCTCCTTGGGTTCATGTTTAACAGTGATGTATTCTTCTCTTACTTTTGCTGGTGCTTGTTTTTCTCTCTTCCGAGGAACCAATTCTGAGTTCTAAGCAAATCAGCTTTGAACCCTGATAAGCGTAATTCCCTTCCACAATCTTAATCCAACGTGTTCCTTTTCTAATAATGCAGGAGAACAGGAAAACTTACTGAAGTTTCGGTGAGTGATAAGCTAGAAGAGTTCCGTGCATCCAAAGAGGTATTAGCTTAACTTATTCATCAAAGGGAATTGAGGAACACTGAAATAAGTTGCTTCCGTATTTTATATCATATATTCCAAATTTTATTTGGTGGCATGTCTTGGGGATATTGTGTGCTCAAATAAAATAAAAATCTATAGTTCAGTTCATGGACTTCCCGTATTTGCAGAAGTCGAGCACGTGAATAACTCTTTATAGTAACTTGGCCCATCTTTGATTTAACAGCATTTTAGGGGGTTGAGTTTCCCTACGATCTCTTCAGTTGGTCCAAATGGTGCGGTTATACATTATTCTCCGGAGCCGGAAACATGCGCTGAACTTGATCCGAATAGCATGTACCTGTTTGATTCGGGAGCGCAGGTGCATCTCCTCTCCTTCTTTCTTTAGTTCTTATCATTTATTAAAACTTTTTCTGCATGTTGATTTCCTTATACCAATTTTCTTGGTGGCTCTAAAGTATGTAGATGGAACAACCGACATTACTCGGACAGTGCATTTCGGAAAACCAACATCACATGAGAAAGCATGTTATACTGCGGTATGTAGAAATTAGTTTTCTATCAAGTTTAAAAACATTTATTTTAATTCGTTTTACTTTGTACTTAATTTGCGTCAAATATAGGTTCTCAAGGGCCACATTGGCTTGGGTAATGCTCGATTTCCCAATGGAACCACCGGTAAAGATTGTTTTTTTCCTCGGCAAATAATATTTTAACTGAATTATATTAAAGATTTCCCGTAAAATCCAACAATAATGGGCTGGTTTTTTAAGAATTATGTGAAACCTTCTGTTCTTGATCGCTGCAATTCCTCTTTCAGGTCATGTTCTTGATGTTCTTGCCCGCATTCCATTGTGGAAGGATGGTCTTGACTACAGGCATGGAACTGGCCACGGGATAGGTTCTTACCTGAATGTTCATGAAGGTTAGTTGCCATAAAAAAACATTTAACGTCAAATCTAATACAACCTAAATAAATTTTAAATAAATCTAACCTCGAGGATTGTTTTTAACAATTTGCCCTATTTTTAATGTCCACAAATTTATGTTTTCTTTAGGGCCTCATCAAATCAGTTTCAGACCAGCTGCTCGAAATGTGCCATTACAACCTTCAATGACTGTGACAGATGGTAACGAGTCTCTGAAATCTGATTTTTTTTTGTTTGCTTCTTAGCAAAAGGTTTTTGATTTACGACTTTGGTTTCAGAGCCTGGTTATTACGAGGATGGGAACTTCGGCATAAGATTGGAGAACGTGCTTGTTGTAAAAGAAGCCGAAACAAAGTTCAATTTTGGCAACAAGGGTTACTTGTCGTTCGAGCATATAACATGGGTAATGTTTTATTCATCTCTGTTTTGCCCTGCCTTCATCTTTTTATGCTTTCGAAAATTTTAATTTATTTTAATGTTTGGGAAATTCAGGCACCGTATCAGACGAAACTGATGGATTTGAGCCTCCTTGTGCCTGAAGAAGTGGAATGGCTGAACAAGTACCATTACAGATGCAGAGAAATTCTGGCTCCGTTTCTCGATAATTCTGAGATGGAATGGCTCAAGAAAGCTACTGAACCTGTTCTTGCTTGAGTACATCTTTTCCTTACTTTACGACACTCTCTATTCCTAGGACCGTTACTTCCCCATATTTGTTTCAACCCCTAAAGAATTTTAGATCCTTAAACTTCTGTCAAAATCTTACAGTTCTCTCTCTCCTGGTCAAGTGAAATAATGATATATGTCAAGATCTTTTAGGCATGGTGCTTCTTATTTATATAGAGAAAAGCACGATCATTCATACAAGTCCACTTAAATCGTGACGTGATAAATGTCATTTAAGTTTTAATAATATTGTTTCGATTTTAAACGTGAGTTTTACCATTTCCGAAGCTGAAATTGGCAAAGCCCAAAACACAAAAATTTTAAATTCTTTGAGTTAGTTTTTTAATTGAACTTGAATCGCCAAGATTGGATGTTTGATGCGAAAAATATGAATGAACAAATGAATATTGAATAGTCCTCACAACTTTAAATGTTTTTGGAGTCATCAAAAAATCAAAACGCGATTCAATCATATGCAACTTAGGCCTTGTTTGATAGTGCTTCATAACCTCTTAACAAGATCCATTTCTTATTCGGTCAGATCTCTCGATATTCAGTGCATTTGGTTTGACAATTTGAATGGCTCCAATTGTCTCTTACCGATTCAGTTCAAAAAGTTGAACTTGTTCGATCAGATTCGATCAGAGCCTTGAACGAAATTGAGACAAATCTCTCCTTTTATAAATTGGGTATTCCAACTATCTTCATGCAGTTGAATTATATATCAATTTATTATACGTAGCGGGGTTTTTAATTAGTTTTAAAAATCTCACATTTACATAGTGTAGATTAAGGTAGTTTTTCTTATATTGTAGTGTCATATAAGCTAAAATATTATTAAATTTGATTATTCACTTATTTGTATATGTTTTGGATGTGAGAATGTAAGTTCTCCCTATAATTATTTAAAGGGAATTGAATTTTTTATTTTTCTTTTCTATGATTCAATTTACTGAAATAATAATTGTCTTATATGTGTATGTCAAATGCATAGAACAAGAATCACCTAAGCCACAATTTTTTTTTTAATTAAATGTATCTTATTTAACAATTAAAAGTTCATAGTATTTTTTTTATTTAGACATTATATTATTGATAATCAATTACTAGATAAAGTCATTTGTTATAACTTATAACAATTCCAACGGGTAATATAGTAAAATTATATCATTCAGATGTAAAATTACTTTTAGTTATCAAACAAACTTAAACATTCAGCATTCATTATTTAGATATTGGTCTTAATCATTCAGATATGTATTCAACATTCAGTGTTCAGCGCTTAATTCTACCAAACATAGCCTTAATCTAGCTGATTCAAAAGATAAGACTTACAATAACATATAAACTTCAGGGGAGCTGAGCCTTCTTTGACGAGGATGCTAGAAAAATAACTCGAAGACCAACCACTTATTTTACTTCGATAACGATCGACACAAAAGCGACACAGTGCTACGCCATTTGCACGTGGAGCAATGAACAAAACGAGTCCTACTAGTCGGAAGATGCTAAACAATTGTTTGGAATTACTGAAAATGGCTGTCACATTAAAAGCCAAGCGTGGGATGTTACCAACCCTAGAAGCATATTTGCTTGTCCAAACAAAAACATATCACATGGTGAAGAAGGGCCCCTGTAATAATATACTTATCTTTGACCAAACAGAAAAAATACATTCAAGAATTGGACACAAAAAGAAAAATAACAAAATAAAAAATAAAAAATGGTTTATAATCTCAAAGTATAATCAGATCATCTATTGCAAATCATATTACAGGAACCAGAGCTGCTTTTCTGGGTAATTCAACCTGAGAAAACAACAACACGAAGCACAACTCGGGTTTTCGAACGTTTTTGTTTTTGTACATGGCAATCTACCGGAAAAAAAAAATGAAAAAAAGAAGTAATAATAATATAACAAATTTCACATTTTCAAGAATGCTTAAACACCATTCAGCTGCTTCAAACCTAATGCAATCAAGAATTCGATTCTAACAAAGCTTTTTTCTTTTTTACTTTAACCAAATTGTCGTGGTCGTCGTCTTTTTTTTTTTTTTTTTTTTTCGTGTGATCTTAATAGGCACTAGGTTTTCCACTACCAAGTGTGAGCTCCAAATCATCCATTCCCACTTCGTGTATTCTCTCACCTTCCCACGCCTTAACCGCACCACCGTTCTCGAACTCAAACTCGGGCCCACACGCCCTCTTCGCCGCAGCTCCCCATCCAAACTCGGCACCGTTCGCAGAACTCTGCTGAGATTTCACGAGGTTGTAAGTAGGCGAAGTGGGCACAGTCTGAAAACTGCCCCACCGCGAGCAAGAAGAGTTCACCGTAGAAATATCCGACTCGTCGCACTCCGGTATCGGAACAGGCGTAAAAAACCGCCTCCGGCGCGTCGGGCTGGACGGAGCAGAGGCGGCAAAAATAGGGTGCAGAAAAGAATTCAACGACGACATATTCGAAGCGTTCGTCTCCCAGTAAGGCTTCGGCTTCGAGTTTCTCGTGGGAGACGAAAGCGGCGGGGTCACCGGAGCACTGTTCGATATCCGAAGAGGCGGGAGCGAAGAAGGGATCGAAGATAAGTTCTGAAGGAATGGGAGAATGTACGAGGTGGGGTTTTTGTTCCGGTGAGTTGGGCTTGTAGGGTAAGAAGGTGCTGGACTCGGGAAAGCCGAAGAATTCGGGCTTGGTTGGATTGAAGAACAGAGGCTTATGTTTCTTGATTCTGTTAATGTGTCTGATGGGGGTGGCTTGCATCCCTGCACCAAAGCGGTAATTGTGTCAGGAATTAGGGGTAAAATAGTCATTTTCAGACTTTCCGGTAACCGCCATTGAAACAAAAACAAATTAGGGATCGGAGTAGATCTGGATCCGAGAATATATACATACATATGAATATATGATCGAGAAACAATTCAATTCAAATTAAAATCGACAAAAAAAAAAGAAAAACAGAAAATGAAATAAAAGTACCTTGCGATAAGTGGTGCCGTCGTCTTCGACAACCCAGCCGGCCTCGGAGCAGAGGGCTTTCAGCACTTCGTTGTTGTCGCAGTGTTTGGGAAGCTTGTAATTGCCCTGAGATCGAAGTCCGGCGTATATCTTGGCGGCGATGGCTCTCCTCCGCCTCTCTCTCTTCTTGTTGTTCTCTCTCTCCTTCCAAGTCGGCAGACGCCCCGTCGATGAACCGCCGGCCGTCATTTTGTTAAAAAAATGAAATTGATCTCCTCCGCCGCCGGAAATAGCCCCAATTCACTCACCAATTCACTTAATTGAGCTCTCTCTCTCTCTCTCTCTCTGTGTATTCTCTCTCTAGAATAGTGAGAGTAGTTGGAGGGAAGGAGGAGAGAGAAAGGGGGTGGGGGATTTGAACAGGATGGTCACGAGGACGACGGCCTCCCCACGCTTTATTGCTATTTCTTCTACTCTACTATTTCTTCTTCCTATTTTTCTAATTAAATAAAAATAATTAAATTCTAGATTTATAGAAAAAAAATATATGAAATTAAAGTAACACACGCAAATGTCAATAATTCAATAGTTGGTGGAGCAATAAATATTCATTTTACCCCTTTTCTCATAAGTATTGGTAATTAATTATTTGTCACCAATTTAAATCTATTTATCAAATTTATTTACGTCACACATAGTTAATTTAGTGTAATTTTTATATATTTTTTTTATGATTTTCATTTTGATGTAATTTATTTATTTAGTGTACTTCAATCTAAATCAAATATATTGAAAAAAATTAAAAATCAGAAGATTGGATTTTTAATTCGGATTTTATGATGATTGATTTCTGCTAAAATAATGATTGAGAATATTATTGAAATAGTGTATATACATGTATGTGTGTGTATATATATATATGCAGATAGATAGATACAAAGAAAGCCACAACTTTTATGTAAGAACACATGCAAGAGGGGTCAGTATATGCATGCACATGCCTTGTCGATTGGTATTGGTGTAATTAATTCACATTGCTTTAGGGTTTAGTCTACCATGCACCCACCCCCACCTCTATATCAATATCAAACAACCTTTTATACTCCCATTTTAGGTTATCATTAATTAATTATTTATAATATAAATAACATATTTGTATTTTTTTTTTTGGATATGGTCCTATGGATATTGACAAGAATAAAAGAGACTAAAAAGAATTAAATATATAATCCAATGAGACTATAGAATTTAATTTTACTAAATAAACACCCATACCTGGGCTTTTGTTTAAATATATAGAAGTTTAGTCTATATTTGTTGAGTAAAACTCTACATACTGGGCTTCGAAATATATCTTCAATTAAATATTAATTAGTGGTAAATAAATAGATTATTATCATGCTTGGTAAATAATTCAATTTTTGTTAACAAGGAAACTGCAATCACACATATGCATTGGATAAAACTCCGTTCTCATGCAATAATAACCTACAAATCATACGACTTTTTTTAAAATTTGTATTCGACAATTTCGTGTGCAAATGATTGATTTTCTCAATACTATACCGGATGGAATACACAAACACAATACACATTCAATTTCACTAGAATTGAGAGAATTGTAACTCATAAATGCAACTCCAATTCTTTATAGTTGTATTTGGATTAAAGAATTTGAGGAAATAATATTTAAATTGATAATAATATATTGAGCTTGTGTGAATCAATTCATTTAACAAAGAATGTTAAATGTTAAGTTAGATTTCCATCAATTTTGATCCGAATAGGAATGTAGCCTACGAGACGAGGTCTGTTAAGGTCCAACCAAAGGCTTGGCTCAAAAGACAGAAGCCACCAAGGCCCACTAAGGTGTGCGGCCTAAAAAATATCCCACGCCAAAGACCCGTCCTTGTTAATGCGACCGAGCAAAAGGGACGAGTTGCTGAGGACCGAGCGGACATATGGTTCTCGGGGAAACGCCATGATGGCTTTGTCTAAAAGTTTTATGACTCTAGCTAGCTCGTCATATCTTCAAATCCTAATAGTTTCAAATGAGTTTTAAATGAAATTAACGACGGAATGAAAAAAGAAATTGGATTGGTTAAGAAAAAGAATCGAGAGTGAAAAATAGAACCTTGTACAACATAGAAATTTCCAAATCTTCCCACCAATCATCATATAAGATTTTTTTAACTGCAATAATAATAATTCCACATCGCTTCTCTCTCTTCTTTCTCTTCTCTCCATTGTTGACTGAGACTAATCCACATTTCCTTCAACTCTCTTCTCGGACTAATAATCAAATAAATACAAAACCCGTTACAGATAATATTTTATTTAATTTTAATACACCTGTTTTCTCATACGTTATTATTCGTTTGCTGGCTTGAAGATTCTCTTTCGGGGGTCAACACAAATAAATAAATCACGTCGCCGCCGTGATGGGTGCAAGATCCGCCGCAGAGGGCAATCCCATAATCCGAAACACCTTATTAATTGATTGATTTTATGGGACTTACCTCAAGGGCACAGAGATTTCGTGGGCCTTCTTCCTATTTTCGATCCAAGAATCTGCTTCCCAGTAATCTTGTTACCATGAAGTGAGTTTTTTTTTTTTTCGATTTCTGCCCACGTTTGTATTTTTCTTGTCGGATTTCTCTATTTGAATCGTGTGCTCTCTGCTTTCTGTTCGTTGATTGGTGTTTCTTGTTATATGGTATGACAGTTGGGTTTTTCTGATTGGATACGGGTTGACCCGTTTTCTTGCTTTTTTGGGTTGTGATATTATTTATGAGGTGTATGTAGTTCAAAGATTGATTGATGGGCATCCTTGTTAGAATCTTGCATAAGATTTAGTACCCAGTTTGCCTGATGTAATAGATTCCCAAGTAAAGATTCTTGTTTTGGCAATCCCACGCGGTTAATGCTTTTGGATTTCATTTTCTTGTTTTGGGTGTGATTTTTCATTTACTCTCTCTCTCTCTCTCTCTCTCTCTCTGAAGTTGAAATTACTCAATGGCTTTCTTTAATTCCATCTCTTCTGCTAAATGAATGTTCTACTGCACCCCCTTTCGTCGCCACATCACCGATCACGTTTTCTAGGCACACATTCCATTGTCGAATGTTAAGCGCATATTTCACAACCTATTTGGTTTCCGAAATCCGTTGTTTTTTGCATATCGGTTATCGTAATTACCACCCGAAATTATTCTTCACAACGTGTAACATACTTACATTTCTTGCATTTCATCTTACGCGACAAAGAATGTCCAACATTCACTAATTCAAACGTGCGAGTCGAAAATTAATCGTATACACTACAGGACAAAAACAATATTCGGAATTTCTCTCTCTCTGGTAATCATAAACATGGCTGCAATAATGGAGCGAGCGGACGAGAATCTCCTCCCGGCAGTCTACAAAGAAGTCAGCGAAGCATTCGCCGCAGGCCCCTCGGATCTCGGATACCTAACGTTCATCCGCAACTTCGTACAGGGTCTCGCCTCGCCTCTAGCAGGGGTACTAGCCATAAACTACGACCGACCAACCGTTCTCGCTATCGGCATTCTCTGCTGGGCCCTCTCCACAGCAGCCGTGGGCGCCAGCAAGTACTTCTTCCAGGTTGCCTTCTGGAGGGCCGTTAATGGTTTCGGCCTGGCGATAGTGATTCCGGCGCTCCAGTCTTTTATCGCCGATAGCTACAAGGATGGTGTGAGAGGTGCTGGGTTCGGATTCTTAAACCTCATCGGAACCGTCGGCGGCATAGGTGGCGGTGCTATTGCCACCGTTATGGCCGGTGGTGAGTACTGGGGGGTGGCTGGGTGGCGGTGCTCGTTTGTCATGATGGGGGCTTTGAGCTGCTTGATCGCGTTTCTCGTTTTTCAGTTTGTCGTTGATCCGAGGCGGATTAACGGTGGTTCGAATGATGCTAGCAAGATGTCTGAAAGGTACTGCTTTTTTTAACACATTACAATTTTATTTTTATTTTTTTTCGGTGTAATGCTTGGTTGTTTATTGGGTGAAAATTTGTTGTTTTTAGGGAGAATTTGATAGAGAATAAAAGTTTAAGATCTTCGACGGTGTGGTGGGAATCGTGGGTAGCGATGAAAACGGTGATGAAAGTGCCGACTTTTCAGTTCATTGTTTTACAGGGTCTAGTCGGATCGATCCCTTGGACCGCCATGGTTTTCATCACCTTGTGGTTCGAACTCATCGGTATAGTTTTCTCTTCGAATTTCCTGTTTTTTTTTTTCTTTTTTCTTTTTACGACTCGTGGTTTCGAGCAATCAAGAGACCATGCATTTTTTTTCCAATTTTTCCTAAACAAATTTGCGAAAGTTGCCTCTACAACCGTCACAAACCGGTTCGACCCGGGCCCGGACCCGGACCCGGACCCGGACCCGTGCCCGTTTCTACTTCACGAGATCTCACATTGATTAAATTCTAACACGAAAAATGCGCAGGTTTCGACCACAACAGCTCCGCAACGCTAGTCGGCCTCTTTGCCGCGGGATGCGCGCTAGGCTCTTTCCTCGGCGGAGTGATAGCCGATAGAATATCCCTAAAATACCCTCACTCGGGGAGGATAATGTGCGCACAGTTCAGTTCATTCATGGGCATCCCATTCTGCATATTCCTCCTAAGTATCATACCCCAACAAGTCTCGAGTTATTACACGTACGCCACCACGCTCTTCCTGATGGGCCTCACCGTAAGCTGGTGCGCCACCGCCGCAAACGGGCCCATGTTCGCTGAGGTGGTCCCGCCGAAGCACCGTACCATGATCTACGCATTCGATAGGGCGTTTGAAGTGTCCTTTTCGTCTTTCGCCGCTCCGATTGTGGGGATACTTGCGGAGAAGGTTTACGGGTACGACCCGAAGACCGTGGACCCCGTTTCGGGGTCCGCGAAGGAGGCGATGGCTCTGTCGAGGGGGCTTTTGGCGATGATGGTGGTCCCCACGGGTTTGTGCTGCCTTTTTTATAGCCCTTTGTATTGGACTTTTAAGCAGGATAAGGAGAATGCTAGGATTGCAGCTGTCAAGGAAACTGAGATGCTGTGATTTTTTTCTTTTTATTTTTATTTTAATTTATTTTTGGGGAATTTTATTTTCATCTTCTGATGAATTTTGTGACAGTAGATAGGAATTCTTGTTTATGATACATTTCGTATCAAATTTGAGAATCTTGGATTTGATGGTAGTACCACAATCTTGAAATTTTCTTTCAGATGCAAACAGATAGTGAGTATTGTAAATTTGCACTAGCCATTTAGACTATGAAAGTCGGATGGAACAGGATCGGAATTAACTTTTTAGAAATTTCTAACGTTTTTTGGAAATACTAAACTAATTCCAATTCCAAAATTTTCGAAATTTAGAATTCATTCCAATTCCACGAGCTATGGAATTTTCAGAAACCATTTATGAGTTTTAACATTTTAAAAGGTTTCGTTAACTTTCATAAAATTTCAAAAATAAGAACATCCACTTTCATAAATTCATAAAGCTATAACATCGGAATTTTCAAAATTAATTCAGATCAGATATCGAAAATTCCAAATATTTTTAAATTATTCCAATTCCAATCTAAAATATTGGAAATCTGATTTTTGGAAATCAGAATGAGAAAAATTGTTCCAAAATCGGAAAATTTCGGATCAGAACTGGCGGAAAATGAAAATTTTATTCCAACCTTCAACCCTAGCCATTTATAAAATTAAATAATTGACTAGATAACTATTAATAATAAAAAAAAAAGTATCAGAAGTGGAAATCAAGCCGATTTTTGTTTATTAAAGTGAAAAATTAATCTTACTTTCTCTCTGGAAAAAAATAAAAATCCAAATTTCAGAAATTGGAATTATTTTTTTATTTATCAAAATCGGGATTCTTTCGAAAGTCCATTAATAAAATTGATATTATAACTTTTTTTCAATTGTGTTCGGAATCATGTGTAGAAATAAAAATGTATACGAAATATAAATCTCTAATATATTCCAATTTCGATTTAAAAATAAAATAAATAGAATTCTCATAATTGGATTTTTTGTTGCATTTTCCACCTACTATTACCAAAGTTCTTTAATTGGCTCATGGAATCAAATTTCTCTAATACCACCCAACTTCTCCATTCTTACAAAATAAGCCCTATAGTTTTCCATTTTACCCCTATCACCCCTCTTCGAAGGTCTAAGCCCAAAGTCTCAGTAAAGACCAGCCACACTATATACGGGTACTGCTTCACTCTTCGACCACCCACAAATTCCTACAATGGCAGCCCCGAAATCCGTCGCTGTTTTCTTCGCCGTGCTGAATCTGATCTCACTTCTGCCGTTTATCGCGTTCTCATTCTCCCCCGATCAACCGACGGATCGCAAAATTCTGGTTCTGCTCGACGATCTATCCCTCAAATCGTCGCATTCCATTTTCTTCAACACGCTCCAATCTCGCGGATTCGACCTAGATTTCAAGCTCGCCGACGATCCCTCCATCGCCGTCAAGCGATACGGCCAGTACTTGTACGATGGCCTCGTTCTCTTCTCTCCTTCTGCCGATCGTAAGTTCATTTTTGTAAATTTATTGTTTTTTTTTTAATAAAGCGTTAATGCGGAATCTGAATAAATCATAAGGTGATTTTACTTTGAAATCCGTCAATTTTGTTTTAATTGATGGTTGAGAGATTTGTCTAGGGTTTGGTGGGTCGTTGAATATTGAGGGGGTTTTGGATTTCGTTGACTCGGGGCATGACTTGATTTTGGCCGGGGATTCAAATGCATCTGATTTGATCCGTAACATTGCTGCTGAATGCGGCGTCGAATTTGATGAGGTTGGTCACATTTTTTTTCATTCAATTTTTCTGATTATTCTCCTCTCAGATGTCATTTCATTTTCTTATTGAAGATGAATCCTATTTTAAGAAATTGAGGCTTTGGGATTGAAATGTTGCCTTCCAGTGTAAAATTTCTTTCGGAAAAATTGCAATTTTTTGTGAATATAGTAAATGCTGTGAGGTTTAGATATAGATAATCTGTACGCGCGCTCCCAAGTTCATGAGGGGAAACTTCACAAGATTGGTTTTTTCTTGTGACCAGTTTATTGTTCGAAGACCAATCAATACTCAATAGTTCATAATCTGTTTTGTTTTTCTACTTTTTAATGGCAGCATTCCATTTGTTATGCGGTAAATTTGGTTACTTATTACTCTTTTGAAGCTGTACTTTTTCGTGGAATGAATGATTTGTTCTCTCTGTTGCCATAATCGGCAAGTGGCAACAAACAGAGTCAGACGGCACAGAAACAACACTGTTAAATTGCTCAATTAAAAAAATGTCTGTATGTTTATAAGTGGATATATATATATATATATATATATATATATATATATATATATATATATATATATATATATATATATATATATATATATATATATATATATATATATCTCCTTCTAGAGCCAGTGTAAAATAACAAAAGCTCTGTAATTGACTCCTCGTAGTTATAAAAAATTCCTTCATAGATTTCTTTGATAGTTATCCAGTTTTGATGCCCTATCTTTTGGCACTTGCTTTTTCCATTAATATATGTTGACGACGTTTTCTGTTTTGCAGGATACCTCTGCAATGGTCATTGATCATGCTGGTTATGCTGTCTCAGAAACTGAGGGAGACCATACATTGATTGCTTCCGATGAGTTTATTCAATCTGATGTTATCCTGGGAAGTAAAAAGCTCGAGGTATGTCATGGATAAGTGTATTATACAAATAATATTGCATATGTTTGGGATCATGTTTGACTCATCATGTAGATTCATGTGTCTCAACATTGATAAAAATATTGTATTCCATGATTTGGCACGGCGAGGGTAAAAAAATCACTTTTTTTTGTGAATTTTACATTGGCATCAGACTTAACAAACTTACTTCTGTTAGTGATGCAACCTTGTTGTTTGTTAAACAGGCCCCTGTGCTTTTCAAAGGAATTGGGCATTCATTGAACCCCGAAAATAGCTTGGTAATGTGCAAGATAATAATATTACTGCTGTAGCTTTTCTACGCAACAAGGCGTGGATACTTTTGCATGATACTGTCTTTATTGTCTTATTTTTTCCCTTTCTTCTTCTCTTTCTGATTTGTAGGTCTTGAAGGTTCTTTCTGCATCCTCATCTGCTTATTCTGCTAATCCAACTTCAAAGTTGTCGAACCCACCATCCCTTACTGGCACATCTATCTCATTAGTTTCAGTCGTACAGGTTTGTGGTTGTTTTCATTCACTGCTGTTCTACATGTATTCTCGTAAATTATCAACTACTTTGACTTTCAGATTCCAATAGATACCTAGAGGATTATACTTTCCACTTTTGGAAAAGGATTTGCATAGGTTTCAGTTGGCTGTCTTAGAAATTGAAACAGAGAATAAATGATTAGTCAGTGAATTAATAGTAAAAAAATATAATCCTACAATTTGAATTTGCTATGACTACATTGAAATTAAAGTAGTTTGAAGGGGCAGGTTGTCAATTGTAATAACTGACGCCTGCTTTTGATCCACTTTTAGAAGCCTAAGGTTCCGAACTATTTGCCATATCTTTCACATTCTATTCAGGCCGAACCTTTTTCTCTCACAAAAAATTGAATAATATTACATACTTTTCATGTTCTTATTAAACATTGTGAATTATGTTACATCCATCGGTGCCATTAACTTTGTAGCCAATCAGTGCAATATCTTCTGGTTAAACTGCACAAAGTATGATATCTATTTGCTTTGTCATTTATTCCAGATTAGGTTGAATATTACGGTGATAATGAAATGCTTTCTGTGACAATCATGTTTTGATGATATTAGTATATCTTATCATTTTAAGAGTGTCGAGTGACAATCCCTATAATTCCTGTTATGTGTTGATGACATTGTTATAAATCGCAGGCTAGGAATAATGCAAGAATTATGATCTCTGGATCGTTGGGCCTGTTTAGCAACAGGTACGCTGTGGCTGAGAAAGCTTATTTTATTAATATTTCCTGGTCAAATCTTTTAGGAAATGACTCCTTACACCACTTGACACCAGAAAAGAGAACTTTCTTACCATAGTGCTTGTTTGTTTTTCTTCACCAGGTTATTCAGATCAGGAGTGCAGAAGATTGGGAGCCTGAATAAGTGAGTGGATATATACGACAAATGTCATTTAGCACGCATTCCATTTATTAAACTGAATTGTTGTTTCCTGTTGAGTTATCATTGTTTTTTCGTTTACAAGGAAAGGATAATATGCTGTTAGTAGCTCAGAGTAATATTATCTTTTTTGTGTGTATGAAAGTACTGTGCTTACTTCACAGATCCAATCATTTTACTTCATTAGGTGAATTCGTTTTGCTTTTTTTTCTTTGGGTTAGATACTAACGGGCCATATTAAATGTGTGCACAGATATGAAAAATCTGGCAATGAGCAATTTGTCACTGAACTTAGCAAATGGATCTTCCATGAAAGAGGTCATCTGAAGGTGATCTATTTCTTTTAGTGTTTCTTCAACTTGTTTATTATTTTCTCTATTCTTCAAATGCTTGAATTAATAGATTATTTAATTTCTTAGGCTGTCCACCTGAAACACAACAAGATTGGCGAAACAGAAGAGCCTTCAATTTACAGGATCAACGATGACCTGGTAATCCCTCCGCCCATACACACACACACACAAGTGGAAAGAAAGAAATCATATATATGAAAATACGAGCGAAATAGAGCGTCCGTTTCTTTTTTCTTCTGAAACCATGATATAATTGCAGGAATTTTCTGTAGAAATATTTGAATGGTCTGGCACTAGTTGGGTACCATATGTTGCGAATGACGTTCAAGTGCAATTCTACATGATGAGCCCCTATGTCTTGAAAACGTTATCAACCAATCAAAAGGTGTTGTTTCATTTCTATGTGCATTGAACATTTATTTATCGACACCTGGCTCCTCACTTCCATGTATGTGTTTTTTGAATTTGCTAGGGGCTTTATCACACTTCATTTAAGGTACCAGATGTTTACGGGGTTTTCCAGTTTAAGATCGAGTATCAGAGGCTCGGATACACTACCTTATCTCTGTCAAAACAGGTAAACATTCATTCCTGTGTTAGTTTTCACAAATTTTGTTAGCCGAGCCAATGGATAATACTATTCTTGCTCGATTTATAATGTTTTCCCAGTGATATTTTGGGTAAAAAACACATTTGCATATAAACATGCATCGTTAATAAAAGGAAGTTCGAATGTAGAGAA